ACCTCCCTCAACACTTTCCTTTTTTGACCTCGCTACCACTGAAGAGATCACTAAGGTCTTCTCAGAAGTTTGCCTCACCACCTGCCCCCTGGACCCTGTCCACTCACAACTCCTTCGGTCACCGTCCTCTTCCATCCTATGCTCCCTCACTCACATCTTCAATCTTTCCCTCTCTACAGGTGCCTTCCCCTCCCCCCTAAAGCACGCGCATATCACTCCCATACTTAAAAAACCCTCCCTGGACCCCACCAACATGAACAACCTAAGACCCATCTCCCTGCTGCCATTTACCTCTAAACTCCTAGAACGCTTAGTCTACAATTGTCTGAGCTCCCACCTCACCGACAACAACCTTCTCGACCCTATACAGTCTGGCTTTCGCCCTCTACACTCCACTGAAACTGCCCTACTAAAACTCTCTAATGATCTACTAACTGCTAAAACCAACGGCCACTATTCAATACTCCTAATACTTGACCTCTCTGCGGCTTTTGATACGGTTGACCATCCCCACCTCCTCAAAAAACTACACTCTCTTGGCCTCAGAGACTCCGCTCTCTCCTGGTTCTCCTCCTATCTATCGCAGCGCTCCTTCAGTGTTACCTATAATGCTTCCACCTCCTCTTCACTCCCTCTCTCTGTAGGGGTCCCTCAAGGTCACTTGATAAACTCCCACGGCTTCAATTACCATCTCTATGCTGATGACACGCAAATCTATCTGTCTACCCCTCACCTCACCCCTTCAGTCTCCACTCGCATTGCTAGCCTACTAAGTGACATATCGGCATGGATGTCACTCCACTCCCTTAAACTCAACCTTTCCAAAACTGTGCTCTTAGTATTCCCCCCAGCCCGTGCCACCTCCACTGACTTCACCATAAATATTGATAACACAATCATCAGTCCCTCCCCTCATGCCAGGGTACTAGGTGTAATCCTAGACTCCCATCTGTCCTTTCAGCCTCAGATCCAATCGCTGACAAAATCATGTAGACTTCACCTCCGCAACATCTCCAAGATACGACTGTTCCTAACCCCAGAAACCACTAAGCAACTTATTCACTCCCTTGTCATATCACGCCTCGACTATTGTAACTCCCTCCTCATTGGCCTACCTCTTCGCAGTCTATCTATGAACGCTGCTGCCAGACTCATCCACCTTACTAACCGTTCTGTATCTGCCACCCCTCTCTGCCAATCCCTCCACTGGCTCCCAGTTGCCCAACGGATAAAATTTAAAACACTAACAATGACATATAAAGCCGTCCACAACACTGCCCCAATTTACATAACCGATCTTGTCTCTAAATATCACCCAAACCGTACTCTCCGCTCCTCGCAAGACCTCCTTCTCTCTAGCTCCCTTATCCCCTCCTCCCATGCTTGTCTCCAAGACTTCTCCAGGGCGTCACCCATCCTCTGGAACCCCCTACCCCAATCTATCAGACTATTGCCTACTCTACTTACTTTTAGGCGATCACTGAAAATCTATCTCTTCAGGGAAGCCTATCCCGCCCTCTGCTAATACTGGAATCCTCTACTCTTCCAACCACTCCATCCCCCACAATTATTACCTATTGTACCATTCACCCCTCCCTCCTAGATTGTAAGCTCCAAGGAGCAGGGCCCTCAAATCCTCTCTTGTATTGAACTGTATTGTTACTGTATTGTCTCCCACTATAATGTAAAGCGCTGAATAAACCGTTGGCGCTATATAAATCCCATATAATAATATTAATTGCTGACTTTTTTTGGGAAGTGCAGCCTTTAGGACAGCCATTCTTATCCATTCTTCACTACTTGGTGTCTCACTAACCTGGAAGAGGCATGTGCCTATGAGATGTCTGATATACAGTATGTAAATGTTTGTTCCAGGGTAGTGATACTCCAAGTAGAGAAGAATGGTCCTGGATGGCAGCCCCAGTTATAGCAAATTCAATGGCAAGTCAGCAGTGGTAGCATATTTTATTTTTGTCCTGACAGGTTTCAGCAATTGAAGTAAAATTATTTGAGCGGTGGTTATAATGAGTGAGGCTATGTGGAAATGAAATTAAACACAATAATAGGAGATGAGAGTGCTTTAATCACATGCAGTTATTAAGTGAAATCTCTGCACAACTATTTTTACACTATAAATGTTTGCGTGTGAAAAGGGGAAAGTTTTCACTGTTATCAAGCCAAATACATTAATTGCAAATGGGAGAAAACTGCATGGGGACAGGTAGGGCCCTCACCAAAAAAGCTTTGTGATAAGAGATCTACCAATCTGCTGTTGTGTTTCGGCTGCCCATAGAGAATGCAGGAGGTGAGAGGTACACCTATCATTGTATGACAAGCACTGTAATATGAAAGACCAGTATTGAATAATAAGAAGCATTCTGTTGCTGTCAATAAAGCTAAAGGGGGTACATACAGTTGTTGAAGTGACCTGGTGGCCTTAAAAACAGTACAAAACAGCACTGAAGTGCAGGCACCTCGTGGTTCATTCAGGTACTTATTTTATCCTTCAAATCAATCTCTGTAAAGCCTCCAGGCCCCAGACTTCTAAATGGGTCCTTGACTTCTACCAAGATTAATCCTGAAAATCCTAAACTTCTGACACAGCTTCTGCCGTGTCCCGGCGGCATTCAACTCTAAAATGCCAGATTTTTTTTTTTTTTTTTAAGTTCTATTTGATGGGTTCCAAAAAGTAAAAAATGTTGTATGTGCATTAGTACACTTTATCCGCTGTTAGTTTTTTGTTGAATCCTTTTAGTTCAATGTTACTAAATTTTTTTTTTTTTACTGCCTTATTCGTTTTTGTGTTGTATTAGCGTTTTTCTAGCTTTTAATCTTTGGGCATTAACTTTTGTCTTTGTTATGGTAACTACAAGCTATTTGTCTAAAACAGCTTTGTATCCTTTTTTAGAGCATGTTTTTTCTTAAATAAACTTTCTCTGTTCACAACATCTGGCACCAAAGCCTGTTTATACAATGTAGCCTTAGCTTAGTCTTGCCAATTTTAAGACGTACTAGAGCAGATTCCCAGCTTCATCTGGCATGCTTTCTTGAGCAGCATTGTGTTATTTATTTAAATATCTGTAATCAAGCTCAATCCCATTAAAACAGATTGAGATGGATACATATTTTATATAATTATGGTAAAAAGAGCCATTTAGTATTTATGTTTAGGCTCACAGTTCTGTATATTTTTGCTAGGTATATACTTACATGGATCAAGCATTTATAGTTTTAATGCATTTTCCACTTTGAAATTTGTCACCAAGGGTAGCCATTGCACTCTGTGGAGGGTAAATGCCAGGGTGCTTACCCACAAAATATTCCATACATATCCAACACCATTATAGAGGCACTCATGGGTCTTGGGCCCTGTTCACATCTGGCAGTTTTGGATCTCAGGAAGAATAGCTGCGATTCTGCCTACAATCTCAAAACACACTGCAGCAGTGGCAAAACGCACCACTCATGTTTAGGTGCCATTCATTTTTGAATGGCACCTAAACGAGGTGCGGTTCTGCCATGATTGCTGTGCAATAAATCATGCTGCAATCACACTAAACTGCATCACGTGAAGCTTGTCGCCCAAAAGAAGCTCCTGCTCCTTTTTGGGCAGCAAACTTTGCGCAATGCAGTTTGCAGCTTTTGCAGCACGATATATCGTGCGACAATCACAGCAGCACCACACCGTGTTTAGGTGCCATTAAAAATAAATTGCACCTTAACGTGTGTGGTGCATTTTTGTCACTTTTGTATTGTATTTTGAGATCACAGCAGAATCTCAGCCTGTGAACGGGGCCTTACAGAAGAGATAGATAAAACTGTTGCTTTGATCCGTCTCTGCTGCAAGACCCATGAGTGCCACTATACCTGTTTTGGGTTTATTTATATACTTTGTATACAGTATACAATAACAGAGGCACTTCAAAAAATAGCTTTACAGTCTTTAGAGCCAAGCACTATGGGATTGTTAGATTCCACAGAAGTTATAGGTATAATATGCTGGATCGAGATAATGAGCATGATAGGGCTTACCTATAGAGTATATGTATGTGTATACAAAAACAATTTAAACCTCCTGTTCTCATGCTCTCTTGTCACCTCCTTCCATGCCCGCCTCCAGGACTTCTCTAGAGCGTCTCCAATCCTCTGAAACACCTTACCCCAATTTGTTCATCTATCTCCTACCCTCTCTCTTTGGGGCAATCCTGAAATCTTCTCCCTTTATATCTTCAAAGAAGCATGGCCTTCCTCCCTTAAAATAAGTCCCGGGAAGAAGTTAATAAAAGACTTTAAAAAAAAACATATTTCAGTTAGTTAATCGAAAAGTATTTTACTAATATTTGTAAAAAAATGAACATACAACTGGATCACATAATGTTTTTTTTTATTTGTTTGTATTTTTTCGCTTACCATTTTTCTTCTAGTCCCACTGTGTGGAAGAATATATTAAGCAAATTTGACTGAACCAAGTGTTTACACTAGCTAAATATATAAACCTTTTTTCTAACAAGTACATACATTTATCCCCGGTTCACACCAACGCGACTTGTGGCTTCAAAGTTGTATGACAAATCGTATCCTATGTCTTTCAGTGGCCCTGTTCTAAATAACCTGTGTTATTGAAGTTGCACTGAGTGGCAGCAAGTCGCAGTGAAGTCGCACAGCATAGTCAGACGTCAAAGTTGCACAACTTTGGGGTCGCATTGGTGTGAACCAGGGCTAATGGCATTATTATTTGTTTTTTTACTTGCCGAAAGTTCTGCTTTAACTGTACTCTCTCATACTGCTATTGTAGAAGTCATAAAATGGAAAACTATTATGTGAGATCATATAAAAACTACAAAGTCACTATATTAAATCAAATAAGAATCAGCCATCCAAAATGAGTTTAGCATTTAAAATGAACATTCTCCCATTTGTTACAACATGGGTTTGCATATACAATATAGAGGTATTTCAAGTTTCCAGACATTTAAAAGATGTTTGTGTTTACTTGTCAGGCCGTGTGTTGATCTGTGCCAGTGACGATAGGACATGTGCTCAGCTGAGAGAGTACATTACCGTGGGGGCAGAGGCACTTTTAATGAGGCTGTACAACAAGACCTTTGGGAAGGATGAAAAGGCAGCAGAAGTATGGCTGAAAAACAGAAAAGCAGTCAAGAAAAAGGAATTGGTTACAGGTGGGAAGAACATGCAGAGTAAGAAAGTAAAAGATTGCACAAGCATGCAGAAGAGAAACTGCAAGAAAACAGAATTAACTTTAACACAAATGATAGGAAAAGTGGAAGATGATGGTATGACAAAAGAGCAAGAAGAAGGCATATTCAAAGATGAAAGCATTAGCATGGAAAGTAGCTTGGAAGAGCCGAAATATGAAGATCTCCAGTTGAATTTACCTTCAGACTCTTATTATGGCATCTTAAAGGAACCCCTGACTGTCATCCATCCTTTACAAGGCTGTACTGACCCCTATGCGCTTATGAGGTTATTGCATGAAATAGAGCCAAGATATGTCGTCCTGTATGATGCAGAGCTCAGCTTTGTTCGTCAGCTTGAAATTTACAGAGCTAGCAAGCAGAAAACATTAAGGTACGTCAGATCCCTGCATGCATATTATAAATATAAATACAGGATTACAAGACTATTTTGTCAGAAAAAAAGATCGGGTACTCTTGCCCTCCTTACCCAGGCTGCCTTTCTTGCATCCCTCAAACCGCTCCACTGCTTCTTCCTGCACTTAACCTGCAAAATATATCTGATGCAAGGTCCACTTTACTGAAATGTCAGGTTCAATGTGAGCAGTGCATCGTTACTGCATGTAATTGTGTGTGTGTACTGTATATATTGTAACTGTGTTATTGGGATAAAATAAGCCTCATCGTTGGTGTCAGTGGAAATAGGATAAGATCCACTTATGTCAAGAAGCTGCCGCTGTACAATCGCCCCCCCCAGCTTCCCCATCAGGTTGCAAGTTAAAATAAGCCCCATGCCTGCTGCTTTTGGGATAAAATAAGCCTTATCATTGGTGTCAGTGGAATAGGATAAGACCCACTTAAGTCATGAAGCTGCTGCTGCGCCATAGACCCAACCCAGCATCCCCAGCAGGTTGCAGATTTAAATAAGCCCCATGCCCGCTGTTATTGGGCTAATATAAGCCATATCATTGCTGTCAGTGGAATAGGATAAGACCAGGGGCGGACTGACCATTTGGAAATTTGGGCACAGCCCGGGGGCCCAGGGTCAGTAGGGGGCCCCATGAGATGCCCCTGGTACCTTTTTCATAGGCTTTTTTGAGTTTGGGCAAGGACACAGGGGCCCCATGATCCCCTTTTGCCCGGGGGCCCCATGAGTTGTCAGTCTGCCCCTGGATAAGACTCACTTATGTCATAAAGCTGGCGCTGTACCATAGACCCCCCTCCCCCCCAGCTTCCCCAGCAGGCTGCAGGTTAAAATAAGCCCCATGCCTGCTGTTCTTGAGATAAGATAAGCATCATGATTGGTGTCATTGGAACAAAATAAAACCCACTTATATCATGAAGCTGCCTCTGTACCATAGACTCAGCCCCACAGCTTCCCAGGCAGGTTGCAAGGGTGGGGAATGTGAAGCTGTGACCCTATGGTAGCTTTACAGGGCAGGGGGAAATGTAGCAATATGAAAGTGCCACAGGACTACAGCAACCTGCAGCTTTTTGAAGGCACAGGACCTCAGAAAGCTCCATTCTTGCTTTACAGTCACAGACAGACTCGCTGCAGAACAGTACACTTTCCCCCTATATACGTGCATGCAAGAAAAAGGGGAAATGGTGGAGGAGGAGCAAAGTGGCAGATACAAAGTGTCAGATTCAAAGGCCACTGCAGGAGCATGGAGAATTTAATGCAGATAAGTAGCAATGTTTCCAGTGTGCAAAACTGTATGACTTTTCCACAGAATCCAGGGCACTTGCCAAGTATGCCTTCCTAGCAACCAGCGAATACTTCTGGGCTCAGCCCTGTGACCGCTTCTCTTTTGCCACCTACTGGCAGAACATTGTATGCACACTAGTGCTAGGGAGTTGCTAAGCAATTGATGGGTGGATAGGGAGGAATCCTCCCCACTGCGTTATTGTATTTTGGGACTCCTCTGCTGTCAGAATACACTGATCAGCGCGGCATCTGATTGGCTGCAGAGCTGTTCGAAAGAACATTTTTCAACAAGCCCATTCGTGAGAAGTCACTCATTGGAATGGGAATGACCATAGATTGATCAAAATTCGGCCAGTCACTGCTGAACTGGCCGAACTTCAGTCCATCTATGGCCAGCTTAATTGTGTACTTGCTGTGCAAAATGTGATGACTTTCCTGTAGCAAATGTCATATTATTAAATATTGTCCTTTCTTAGGATAATTTCTTGATTTTTTTTCTTCCCAATTCACAAATAATCTTGAACACTTTAGGGTTTATTTCCTCATCTATGGGGGTTCTACAGAAGAACAGAGGTATCTCACGTCCCTCAGGAAGGAAAAAGAAGCATTTGAGCAACTTATCAGGTAAAACATACTTCTCTACAAATCGTATAAAATAATCAAGATACGAGAAATCATAACTTTGTTTGCTTGAGAGACACAAAATCCATTTGGTATTGCTTACCCACTGAGCCAGGTTAGATTTACACAGGTTATGAATTTATTTGGACATTACTTGACAAATCAGGCTCTCATGATTGGGTATAAAGATAAGGAGCTGATGCATTTTTTGACATTTATTAACAGCATGCTTGTTTAGGATATGTGGCTCAAAACATTGAAGACAAACAGAGAGGTAAACCATATATTTAGTAATGGTGGCCCCCCATATGCTGCTCATGAGAGGTGTATGTTAATGGGACAGTCCACCATTACCTATATTTCTTCTTTTGGTAGATGTTGGTAAAATATCTGCATCTTGATTTTTGAGTCTGCACACCTGCTATACCTTTTATGAGGGGTTAACCCTGTTGCATTTTTTTATATTAATTCTATACTATGGAGACTGCAACTGATGAGCTGGATCATGCAGTTGTGTGTGGGGAACACGTAAAACCGTAACAGGTTTGGAATTATGACAGGAAGATCTCACTAATGGAGTATGCAAGACGTTTAAAAATCGGGCTGACCCAGGCCTCCAGATTCCAACTAAATGTAAAATGGTAATTTTAGGTATACTGATAATAAAACGGAGAAAAAAAAACACTTCATCGGTCCTATAATTTGTTAGCCAAGTTCATTTTTTTTTTCATTTTAAGACGCTTGTTATTGAGCTTTTCATGAGGAAAGTACAGAACATAACAAGAGGCCCTAACAACAGTAGAGGGAAAGGTAGACACAGACATTAAAATACATTAGGACATGGAGTAGCCATACAAGTAGCATAGGGTTGAAATTGTAACATGTACAGCATTCCTGGCATAGAGGGGATCTTATTGGGGTACAGTTATTTTTTGAAGAAGAGAGACAAAGGTACACTAAATCAGGTTACAATGAGACCAGTTACAAAAGAGAGCTAGCAATACTGTGAGTAGGTCCACAATTACTAAATATTATAAAAAAGAGCCCAGTAGCCTCTTTCATTTGTTAAAGTGGAACTCCACTCTCTCAATCAACATTAACTATTCTGAATCCTTATGCTGGTAGCATTAGTAAATAGATAGGAAAGTATATCATATTTACTTGTTTTATACTGTTTTTTTTTTTTTTGTACATTTCTTTAGTTGATTCCTAATTTCCATGCCTAGGCAAATGATGTCATACACCTCAGGAGTCTTCAGGAGGGAAAGTGTGATTTTGTCAGCTAAGCACACATTGCTGCCTGTATGCCTGAGCTAAGGGCAGATGGATTCCAGGAAGTAATTTCTACATGAATCATCTGCCCTTACTCAAGATAGCCACAGTCAGAAATGCTAGTGGGTGTTTTTCAAAGTGATTTCTCAACAACCTAAAGCATAGAGACATGGATGGATTGGTGCATTTGCTTTGAATATTAAAAATTAGCTAAATAGCAATTTTTTTTGTGGTTCTCCGATAGATTGTAGTTCCGCTGTAACTTGTAGATGCTGGTTATACACTGATCAAAATTTGGCTGGTCTAGAGGAAGAGGGAATTCTTTGATCCACCCTCGTGTTCTGGATAAAGGAATCATCTTTTTTTTGGGGGGGGGGGGGGGGGGGTTAGCTGATATATCTAAATAGAGGTTGATGGAGGATTATGGGCCTTCCAATTAAGTAGTGCACTTTTTATAATTAGGATTTTTTTTTTAGTGGAATTCTTGTCTGGAATGATTACCTAAGGATGGAGATCAAACAAAATCACCAATATTCAGCAAGGGAATGTAAAAGAGAGGTCCAGCATACTGGATGCAATAAACACCCAGGTTAAGGAAAGGCCAATATGGCATTATTTCTTACTTTGTGTAAGCACAACAATGAGGGGTGGAAATTACTCCACGGATCATTTATAATCCACTATTTATCCTGCCTAACCTGTGAAAAAAAAAAAAAAAAAAAAAAAAAGATGTGTATACTTTCCTGTTCTTTTTTTATTCTGGTCCAGTCACATGACCCGCAGCTTCAGCTCCCCTGTGTCAGTGTGCAGGTGAGCAGTGGCTGCAGGGGAGAGAGGAGAGAGCACCGACAACGGCTGGGACATGGGAGCTTATGAGTCACATCACAGCTCTGAGAATTCCAAGCCATTGTTGAGCTCTACCTTCTGCAGCCGCCGCCGCTCACTGATACACGTTGATACCAACATGACCAGAGTGGAGTGGACTAAGGATGGAAAAGTATACACATCTTTTTAACACAGGTTAGGCAGGATAGGTAACAGGAGAGGGGAAGAGAAATCTTTAAGCATAGTTAGAGTCAGCCTGGAGTTCTACTTTAATGAATCCGTGTATTGTTTGTGCATATCTATCTAGCTGTTCTAAGAATAAAAATAACCTAAAAACTAGATATACAGCGTAGACCTTGGTACATACACTTGATTCAGATATTAACTTCTCTATTATGTTTGCTTGCAGAGAAAAGGCCAGCATGGTTATCCCAGAGGAAAGGGAAGGACGAGATGACACAAACCTGGATCTGCAGAGAGATGCGACTCCAGCCTCAGCTGCTACTGACACACGCAAAGCTGGTCAGTACAGTGCATTTTTAAAAATATTTTTTCAGTCATTAAAGCGGAACTAAACCCTCCTCTCCTTTTCAGCCAAGGAAGCTGCCATCTTAGCTTCTGTTTTATCCGCAACTGCCATTGTGCTGCACGTGATCAGATATGGCACCAGCCATTTGATGGTTTGACTGAGAGCACAAGCAAATGTAACAGTTAGCATCCCGGCATGCTGGGAATGTAACTGTCTTTTTGAAACCATTAAATTGATGGGTTTACTTCCACTTTAAATTTTTTTTTTTTTTTTTTTAACTTTGTTTATTGAAGTCAAACAGCTGTACATACAGTCAGGTCCATAAATATTGGGACATCAACACAATTCCAACATTTTTGGCTCTATACACCACCACAATGGATTTGAAATGAAAGAAACAAGACGTGCTTTAACTGCAGACTGTCAGCTTTAATTTGAGGGTATTTACATCCAAATCAGGTGAACGGTGTAGGAAATTACAACAGTTTGCATATGTGCCCCCCACTTGTTAAGGGACCAAAAGTAATGGGACAATTGGCTTCTCAGCTGTTTCATGGCCAGGTGTGTGTTATTCCTTCCTTATCCAAATTACAATGAGCAGATAAAAGGTCCAGAGTTAATTTCAAGTGTGCTATTTGCATTTGGAATCTGTTGCTGTCAACTCTCAAGATGAGATCCAAAGAGCCGTCGCTATCAGTGAAGCAAGCCATCATTAGGCTGAAAAAAACAAAACAAACCCATCAGAGAGATAGCAAAAACATGAGGCGTGGCCAAAACAACTGTTTGGAACATTCTTAAAAAGAAGGACCTCACCGGTGAGCTCAGCAACACCAAAAAACCTGGAAGACCACGGAAAACAACTGTGGTGGATGACCGAAGGATTCTTTCCCTGGTGAAGAAAACACCCTTCACAACAGTTGGCCAGATCAAGAACACTCTCCAGGAGGTAGGTGTATGTGTGTCAAAGTCAACAATCAAGAGAAGACTTCACCAGAGTGAATACAGAAGGTTCACCACAAGATGTAAACCATTGGTGAGCCTCAAAAACAGGAAGGCCAGATTAGAGTTTGCCAAACGACATCTAAAAAAGCCTTCACAGTTCTGGAACAACATCCTATGGACAGATGAGACCAAGATCAACTTGTGCCAGAGTGATGGGAAGAGAAGAGTATGGAGAAGGAAAGGAACTGCTCATGATCCTAAGCATACCACCTCATCAGTGAAGCATGGTGGTGGTAGTGTCATGGCGTGGGCATGTATGGCTGCCAATGGAACTGGTTCTCTTGTATTTATTGATGATGTGACTGCTGACAAAAGCAGCAGGATGAATTCTGAAGTGTTTCGGGCAATATTATCTGCTCATATTCAGCCAAATGCTTCACAACTCATTGGACGCCGCTTCACAGTGCAGATGGACAATAACCCAAAGCATGCTGCAAAAGCAACCAAAGAGTTTTTTTTAAGGGAAAGAAGTGGAATGTTATGCAATGGCCAAGTCAATCACCTGACCTGAATCTGATTGAGCATGCATTTCACTTGCTGAAGACAAAACTGAAGGGAAAATGCCCCAAGAACAAGCAGGAACTGAAGACAGTTGCAGTAGAGGCCTGGCAGAGCATCACCAGGGATGAAACCCAGCGTCTGGTGATATCTATGCGTTCCAGACTTCAGGCTGTAATTGACTGCAAAGGATTTGCAACCAAGTATTAAAAAGTGAAAGTTTGATTTATGATTTTTATTCTGTCCCATTACTTTGGTCCCTTAACAAGTGGGAGGCACATATGCAAACTGTTGTAATTCCTACACCGTTCACCTGATTTGGATGTAAATACCCTCAAATTAAAGCTGACAGTCTGCAGTTAAAGCACATCTTGTTCATTTCATTTCAAATCCATTGTGGTGGTGTATAGAGCCAAAAATGTTAGAATTGTGCCGATGTCCCAATATTTATGGACCTGACTGTAAGTATAAAAGTGCATTTATGTTAACAATTACAGTAATTGCATAAAAGCATAGGAATACAAATGTACAAACTGGACCAGTGACAGTCTGAGTAATCCATACTGAGTGGGATAGTTGTAAATATAAAATTGGTCACCCTGAACTTAATGTGAGAGTAGAATTACACCATAGGTCCCAAAAGTTATGGAATTTTAGGGGACAGTTCCTATTGCCATACACAACTTTTTCATAATTAACAATTTTAATGTGCATAGCTGCCAAACACTAATCATTAGGAATGGTACACTATATTTACCCCTAACATTGGGGCATGAGTTGTGTTTATCTATCACTATATTCCTGGGAATTGGGTTTTTTATAGGCGTGGATGTAAATACTCCTGACATTTAAAGAACATTGCATACAATTGTTGACATTCTGAAGTTTATTTACCAGGACATGGGCACATTTTTTCTGTATCTGCCAAAAGGTATATAGTAACATTATATGGAACTGCTCTCTGGAAAATGACTTCTACGTATTATTTGATGTGGTGGACCTCACTAAGCAACAAATTAATTTAAGACATTGGCTGATTTACATACATTTCCCACAAATTCTACTCTAACCATGGCCTTTTTATGGCTCTTTTTTTTAGGAGGTCAGCAGAAAACCTTGCAGAAAACCATCATTGTTGACATGCGGGAATTTCGGAGCGAACTGCCATCTCTGATCCATAGACGCGGGCATTGATATAGAACCTGTCACATTAGAAGTGGGGGATTACATTCTCACCCCAGATATATGTGTAGAGAGAAAAAGTGTGAGTGATCTGATTGGATCTCTCAATAATGGACGTCTCTATACACAGTGTGTTTTCTATGTGTCGTTACTACAAGCGGCCTATTCTCTTAATTGAATTTGACCCTAACAAGCCGTTTTCTCTCACATCAAGAAGTTCAATCCACCAGGAGATTTCTGTGAATGACATCACATCAAAACTCACCCTCCTCACTCTCCACTTTCCAAGACTGCGCATCCTTTGGTGTCCTTCACCATACGCCACCGCAGAACTCTTTGAAGAGTTGAAGCAGAACCGAGAACAGCCTGATGCTGCAACAGCAATGGGTATAACTGCCGACTCTGAAACTATCCCAGAATCTGAGAAGTACAATCCAGGCCCTCAGGACTTCCTACTGAAAATGCCAGGGGTCAATGCCAAGAACTGTAGAGCCATAATGAATCATGTAAAGAACATAGCTGAACTGACAACACTGTCTTTAGAGAAACTAACTGAAATCCTTGGCAACTCAAACAGTGCAAAACAGCTTCATGACTTCATTCACGCATCCTACACAGAAGCCATTTCTCACGGGAAAGCTAAACGTTAATCAAATAGCTTATCATTTATATATTTAAGAAATATTTGAATTTTACATTATTGTGTGAAAATTTCTATTTTTTTTGAAGAAATGATTTTTTTCAGGCCTACGTGCAAAAAGAACTCAAAACAAAGTAAATCTTATCCAGCCATTGTAATCAGCACTTGATACATGTAACAGCTTTTCTATTTCTGTTCTGTCTGTGTGCCCCATCTTATATTTTAATCCTAAAGTTAGCCATAGATGGGTCACTTTATTTAATCAGCCAGTGAACTGAATGTAAAAACAAAACTAATGGATTCTTCCATCCACACAAGTGAAGTGGATGAAGGATTCTTCCCGCTGAGACATGGTATTATGACAGTGGGACTCTCGGCTATCGGAATACACTGATCAGTGTTTGCAGTCGACTTATGCCAAACAGGGACTGCCACTCACGGATCAAAATTTGATCAATTTCCATCTATCTATGACTAGCTTAAAGGGGGATGCTTCTGTGCCGTAAAGTAGGCATTGTCTTTATCCACATAGGGCATGAGGTAAATGGTGCAATTCTGAGTTATCTAATTTTGTTCTCTTTCTTGTCTTTTATATTATCACGTATAATTAATTTAAAGTGAAACTTAACCCAGAAAGGGAAAGTTCCATTCTTACTCTTCCTACTCTCCTCCTCTGCTACATTTGGAATACATTTTTTAGGGGTTGGGGAAGCAGATACCTGGTTATGACAGGTACCCACTGCCACTTCCGGGGTGGATCGCCATGGCAGATCCACTGGAAGTTCTCCTCCCGCTTTCTTGCCCGTAACCTTCTGGGATGCATCACAGGTCCCAGAAGGCTGCAGGACCATTCAGAAAACACAGCATGTCAGAAAGTTGACTGTGAAGCTGCAAAGAGTCAGCTGGCTGCCACAGTTACCATGTCGGGGACCCAAAGACCAGTAATGAACCGGCCCGGGTAAGGACGGAAGCTGCTCTTTAAGCAAGTCTGAATGGAAATTAAAGCTATAGGGGTTGATGTTAGTATAAGAAAGAACATTGTTACTGCAACATATTTAAAATGGTTAGATGTTCTGTAGCAGACATGTGTACCATTCAGGTGCCTTTACTTGTCAAATCCACTGCAGAATTGCTTTCAGAATTGTCACGAGTCTGTCAACATAAAAAAGACTGTGTTGTCTTGATGTAGGAAAGTGCTATCATATTCAGGAGGTTCCTAGATGTTCCTTGATGCAGCTTTGGTATGTACTGTCAGCTTATTGTGCTTTTTCTGGCAACTGGCATACATTTGATCTGAGACAACTGGCATACATTTAAACCCTGAAAAATGATAGAGCTGATTATGCATTCTTGGTTCTAACAGCCTAAAACATTTTATATGTTCTGACTGCAGGACTGGAAAAAAATTGCACCTGAAGGCCGTATGTCAGTTTTTGGTTTTGCAACCCCATTATGTGTGGTGTTTGTCAGTATGAGCTCTGAATCTAGAAGTTGAGGGTCAGGTTATTAAATTGGAGAAAAGAGCACTGCTCATAGCCATCATTCAGATTCCAATTGTTACATTTTTCTGTTGGTTAGAAAATGTAATAAAAGATCATTTTGCAGGTTAAGGCCATCATAGCTGCCTTTCTTCTTCCATTGTCAGCCCCATTGTACTGCTGATTGGCTGTGTGCCACAGTACGGAAAATGTGATATTCCTTTCCTACAAAAAATAACTCTTGGCATAATTCGTTTCCATGTCATTAGTTTAATGGCGTTCAACACTTGTCTATATTCATTGGTATAATCACAAAATAAAACAAACATCCATGAATTGTCCAGGGTACAGAATGGAGATAACCCCTAACCATTATATACCTTCAGAAACGGAGGGGAATAAAACATTGAACGCTTATCTATGGTAGTTTATATTTAAATAATACCATTATAAGAGGTTTTGGTGAATATGTTACATAAACATGACATGTACTGGTTATATTTTTGTAATTATTTCTTGAATGGACTTGCACTTAAAACTAGGTACGATCTGCACTATACATACACTTTGCTGATGCACTTTTTGAAGTTGATTGTTTTTGTTCTCTGAGATTGGTGATGCTTGTAAGCCAAAAGTGGGTGCTCTTTCTTTATTTTTATGGATAAATAATTTGCAAATTACATATTTTTAAGAAGTACAGAACATTAACTATTTTCTGTCTGCAATTTAATGTAAAATACACAAACTTAAAGTATATGTGAACCCTCACCCTGGGAAAACGAACCCATTCAGTTTAAAATTGAAATGAAAGGCAAAAAATGTGTGTATAGATATAAAAGGTATTTATAATTTTTTATAAGTGATCAGATAACCTCTGTTCTCAGCTGCATAAGGAGCGGGGGGGAGGATAAACAGCAGAATGCTGGTCTTCCCAGTGAATGGCTGTGCAGGGAGGGGCGAGCACGTCAGCACAAGCCTCATCATTTTATTAACTCCCAATTCAACCAGAAACCTGACCATGCTGTGCTTACATGCCTAGTCTGGTCCATGTTTAATAGGAAAGCAGAGAGACTGGCAGAAACACCAGGGATTTCACACAGCAATACAAAGAGAACAGATATTTTTCATACCAGTACATGGTACAGCAGGCACATATCAGGCATATGAAATGTTGGGTTTACATATTCTAAGTCCAGCTTTCCCATCACTTCAAATAGTTTCGGCCAAGTTGGCCTTTAAGTGATGCAGCTCCTGTCAGTGTTGTCATCTGCTACATACAGTATGCACCGCTGTAATCCAGCAGCAATATGGGAAACGTCCCATCAAACAAAATCAAGTCAGGCTTCTCAGACATTCAGAAGGAGGAAGCCTTGTATTTTTATCAATGAATACAAGGCTTCCTCTGATTGGCTGAGATGAAGGGGTGAGCCTTTAGTGTTGCAAGCTCCACCTCCGCCGATCAGAGGAAGCCTTGTACTTGTTGATAAAACTTCACTTTGTATAGCAATAGTTTGTATGGGCCAGCTTGGCCCAAAAAAATTATTTACAGTGATAGGAAAGCAGTTCTTGGGCTTTAAAGCGCATCTAAACCCATGAATAAAAATGTTTTATATACAGTAGATAGCAGTTCATCAGTAGGTAAATGTGATGACTGGATTTGATTTCTGTTCTTTTCCTTTATTTTCTCTTCGTGATCGTTCAAATACACATCCTGTTCTACAATTACATCAATGGTGAATCACCCTAGAACAGGTGGGGATAGGGGGGTTAAGTTACTTGGTTTATGACAATAGATATATCTACACACACACACACACACACACACGCACACCGCACACGCACACGCACACACACTTGTTTTTTACTTTATCAAACAGAGGTAGCAAAATGCCTTCAGCTGAATATTTAATAATTATTTTTTTTGGGGGGTGGAGGGGCAGCTTACATATGTCCTAAGCACTATACAAAATTACAATTAAACTATGTTGCCTTTTTTATATACATTGGATCTGAAGTTTAATAATCAGTTATAGTCAAAGGTAAGAATTGTTGCCTTTTTTACATCCAGGATTATATATAAATCTAGGAAGCAGATTGGTTGCTATTGAAAATTATTTACATTTCCTATTAGCAAAATTTTCATACCTCAATCAGCTGACTACAAAGGTAGAAATAAATTGGCCAAGTACTTTTTAATACAGGTTTTGGATTTGAAGGTGATCGCTAAAATTGTTAGTGGGTATAGCAAGGATTGTGTGTACTGTTGACTAAATAGACATTTTAGCTAACATCTTTGCCTTGTATGAGGTGATATTCATATTGAAGGTGTTTTTGTTTGTTTTTTGTTTTAGTTTTTCAGTGAAAGGTCTACTGAAAAAGGCAGTTGGGGCAGCCACTGCTACCTTGACATTGTTTGTTTCATAGACCTATTTGTGTAGGCTCTTACTATACTAGAATGCATATCTCCATCCTGATCAGCTGGACAGTTGTTGACTGGCTGAACTGTAGGGTGCAAGGAAATGGTCATATGATTTGTTTTAAGGCATGTACTGGCACAAATACTATTTATGAAGTTTCCTAACTTATTAAATATTGGTGAAGTATAATTATTCTGAAATCAAATTTCTGACTTGTTTTCTATAAACATTTAGGTACTTTGATGTGTTATGGTGACTTGATAATAAAATAAGCAATTTTGTGTTTGTCAGGGTTTTTTTTTTTTCTGTTTTCTTTTGTTTTTTTTAAATTCTGTGATTATTGTGATAGACAATACTCTAGATTAAGCATCACTAAATGGCAGACTGCAGTCTGCCATTTAGGTGCCATTCTACCCAGAGCCATCATCACCGCCGCTGTTATTCTCATTCTCACAGAGCCAACATTGGGAAGCTGGACAGCTGAATAGAGGGTGAGGGCTGCTTGAGTTAACAAGCAGATGATTGGTTGTTAGAATGCAAGGCAGTCCTAGCAAGCAATCACCAGCTTGTGGCTCCCACCCTCTGTCTAAACCTGCTGTGCCTCCCACCCTCCTCCCTGCCTGTGTAAGGTAGGACAGGAAGGGGGTGGGGTGTGAAGGTGGGTTGAGGACATTAATGGGGCGGGCTCAGGACAGCTATGAGGAGCTGAGGACAATAAAAAGGTCATTGAGGACAGTAATGGGGGGAGGGGCTTAGGACATGAATAGGACCATTGAAGACTGTAATCTGGAGGGGGGGCTGGGGACAGTAATGTGAGAGGGGGCTGAGGACAATGTAATGCAAGGTGGGGGATGCTGGGGACAGTAATGTGAGGGGGGATTTTGATGTGAAAGGGAGACTGAGAATGCTGATATAAGAACAAGATTGTGATATGAGGCTTGATTTAGATCTGTGTATGCGCACTGCACGTGCATGTCATGGGTAGGGTAGCCTGTACATAGTGCAGCACACACATAGCTCAGTATGCCATCCATACATGTCAGTATACACAGTTCAGCACACATACAGCTCAGTACACCCGTTCATAAATGTCAGTATACACAGTTCAGCACACA